AGGGAAATAGCTTGGGAAAAGAATAGATACCTTGGCTGGGGCGTGGGGGAGGTAGCTAGAATAGAAGCAAAGAAAGACTCACCAGGCAGAGATCTGCTGGGCTGTATGGTTGAGATAAGCGAGGGAACCAGGGAGCAGCAGCAGCAGCACCTGTGCCTCTAGGCAGGCTAGGTACAAAAAGGAGTGAGTGGGATGAGCGGGAGGTGAGGGCGGAGCCAGTCAGTGGTGCATTTTACCAGTCCTCCGAATTGCCCATAATTTGTCCTACCGTTCAGGAGAATCGGTCAGAACCGGCTGAATTTCACCCCTGCAGGGAAGTGCTCAGCTGATTGGTGGCCAACAGAGCCCCAGGCAGAATTGCACCCTGTGAGGGGGCCACCTCCAACACTCCTCCACCACCTCCCTTCTTCTTGGCATCCACCTGCCCCCCATTGCTTCTTAGCGCCCCTCGCTGCCCCCTTTCCTCTTAGTGCCCCCCTAAGTCATCCCACCCCCCCAACTTTGGGAACCACTTGTTTAATCCTTTTGCCCTTTTTGGAGCTTTTCACTTGGCAGATAAGGTCTCTGATCTAATTGTGTTGCAAACGTTACATTAGAATTGTTAAAGAACTTGCCTATTAAAAAGAAATGGGTTGGATGGTTCCTATTTCAATACTGTTCCTATCTACACTTATGATTATGCTCCTTTTCAAGATGGGCAACTCCTGGAAGAAGAGCTTCAAAGATTTTCCACCAGGACCCAAGCCTTTGCCTATTGTTGGAAACCTCCACATAATGGATCTGAAGAAACCTTTCCAGACAATGTTAGAGGTAATTATTTTTTTTATCCTGTTCATTGAAGGGCAAAATTGAAGCGTTCTGAGACTTTTGTAAGCTATGGAAATGAAAGCCTGCTTCAGCCAAAGAGAAATGAGAGAAGAATGAAATGCTCTTATTAAACCAAATGGCTCATTCATTCTCTCCAGATACCATCTAGATCAGTGACAGGAAATGTGTGTCTATCAGCTTCTTGATAATCAAATGAATAGCAACCACAGTCAGTCTGGCCAGTGGAGCAACATTCGTCTCTAAAATAAACACTGTGTCAGCGTTCCAAGTATCATGTAGAATTACATCAGAGTCCAAGGCAAAATGATCCTTAAAGTTCTAATTTAATAAAGCAAACATCTTAGCACATCTGTGTTAATTCCAATTCTGGAAATTACATCAGAATCTCACCCAGTTAAAAGTTCATGATCTTGTCCCCACACCCACAATCCATCACATGGTCCAATCTTCTTCTTCCACGCTGGGGTCTCCACCCAGCTGCTTCCGGTCAGGTGTAAAAGTGTGGAGACAAAAGACGACCTTGGCTTCTAGTAAAGAATGAAAACAACACGTTCCACAATCCTACTCCTTTCTATTCCCCCCTCCCATCAACTATACTAATGAAACAGCATAATGAAATAAGAGTAAGTGTGGCAGGCCAAAATTCTAAAAGGAATATAATTGCAGGCCTGACACACTGAGGTATTGCCTTGTATTTTTATAATATCTTATTTGAATTTTTATATGTGGTGTATAATTTTATCTTTTTAATAATATAAGCCACCCTGAGTCACCCTCTGATAAGATAGGCAGCCAATACATTTAATAAAAAATAATTAAGTTAGAACATATGGAAATTAGAATTAACTGAAATTGGGAAAACGTACAGTGTGGGACTGGTATTCATAACACAGAAAGTGACTTCAATGGCTCTCTCAATCTCTGCTGTATGCTTAAGAAAGAATTTAGAATGCTTTGTAGTACAGCGAAGATTCCAGTCAGAGATTGAGAGATTCTAAAATGAAATACCTAAAGGAGAACCAAAGAATCAGCTTGTATTACTAATCTGCAAGGGGGCATTTAATACCCTAATATGGAGGCTGCTTGGGCCAAGGACAAATCACCAAATAAAACAAGAGGATGAGAATTTTTTTTGGGGGGGGGCGGGGAGATATAAAAATGGAATTGGATAATCTGGAAAATGTTTTTGAAAGGAAGATAGGGGTATGGGTGGATAATCTGGAGATTGGCAGTTTAGGAGAATAGAGGTGGGAGAAATATTTAAATGGAATAACGAAGATACAGATGTTGACAGAGACAAAGTTCTAAGAGAGGAGTATGGGAGGAAAGTAAAAAAAAACAAATAAGAATTGAAGTATTCAAACAAGTAAGAGATGATGGATAGCATAGAACTATTTTTTATTTTTCTTCTTTTTTCTAATGATAGCCTGATTAAAAACTCGAAATAGAGGTAGAAATACACCTTTGTATAAAGGACTATGTCTTAACATAAATATCTGTTTTAACATTAGGATTAGTGAGGGTGATCTGACTAGAAGCCAGAATAGAGGTAGAAATAAGAATTAGGGGGAATATCAGTAGTTATAATTTCTATATAAATCTAATATAAGCTATAATTAAATGGAAAGATGAGAGGTTGAAAGATGGTATTACTATGTATGTTTAAGAAGATCATTGACATTAGAATAGAACATTGAAATATTGAATAATTACTTTAAAATAATCAAGTACATTAATATTAATGTACTTGATTATTTTAATGTAACAATTGATTAATGTAACAATTGACTGTTGTTATTTGTATTAATATGAACCATACCCAGAGACCACACTGTTCATGTATTGATGTTGATATATCTGGATATTAATTTATACAATTTATGTTGCATTTTAGGTACTTCTAATAAGAGGAAGCTTGTTAGTGCTAATTGACATCTGGTCTTTGTCTTTGTGAACTCCAAACCACCTTTTTCATTATTAACATCTTAAAATGTATGCCCCTTCTGTCATCAGACCTCATTTAAATGGATATACATGTAACTGATTTAATGTGCAAAGGAGGGGTTCCTTTTATCCTGGCCTTTTCTCTTGCATTTTATTTGATATGTTATCTATGAAATTGAATGAAAACTAAGGATCTGGGTTCCCTCTTTGAATGAGAGGAATCCCTTTTACCAGAATATTGTAATAAATTGTAATTAAACGATCTTCCAGTCTTGGTCTATCTGATTGGAAAATATGCATGCTGAGACACGAGCCTAAAAACCACATTTGGCCTTCATTCCAATGAAAAAAAGGAATTGCAATCAGCCACCATTTTTATATTAAAGAATGTATGTAAATATGTGTAATTGGGCAGTTTCCTCTACCACCCCACATCTGATACATCTATGCTAATTCTGTTTAGGAGAGTATGGAAATTAAAGTCTAAACCTATGGAGACCGACTAAGTTGGGCCACCAATGAGATTCACAGATATCTTCCTCTCAGCAGACTGGCAATCCCTTGTGTAGGCCAAGGATTTTTTTTTTGCATAAACCAAATACCTCTATTATAAGAAGCAAAACGGAGTTGTTACTGGATAACTCTGAAGTTGGTCTGAAAATATACAGCCAGAAATAGAGGATGAGAGTTCCTGCATATATAGGGGGGAAAAAATCTGAGAAAGATCAATGCAGAGGACATGATTTTCAAATGGCTCAAGTAAAAGACCATTTTTCTCCTCATTCCTTTTTTGGGACTTCGTGAGGAGAAACCTCAGTGTGTTCACAGTTCCATACCTGTAAATAATTAAATGGCAGAATGCCAGGAAAATTCTGGTATGTTTCCAAAATATCTTATTAACTTTAGTTTAATCATTAGCAAGGATGACTGTGAGATACTCTATCTGCCTTACTAACGTTAAGAGTCCATTTTTTCAATTAATCTTAGCTTTAAGCTTAAGACAAGAATTTAATACTTCTATCCTATTTGGACCTTTTCAGTTGGCAGACACTCTCCTTGATCATATTGTGTGGCAAACTTTTTCTTACAAGAACAAAAGAACTTGCCAATTAAAAAGAAATGGATTGGATTGTTTCTATTTCAGTACTGTTCCTATCTACACTTATGATTATGCTCCTTTTTAAGATGGGCAACCCCTGGAAGAAGAGCTCCAAAGATTTTCCACCAGGACCCAGGCCTTTGCCTGTTGTTGGAAACCTCCACATAATGGATCTGAAGAAACCTTATCAGACAATGTTAGAGGTAACTTTTCCATCTTTCTGTTGCAGGGCAAAATTGCATCATTTTGTGATTTTTGTAGGCGAGGAAAATGACAACTTGCTCCGACCAAAGATAAGTGAGAGATGGATGGAATGCTCTTATTAGAAAAAAAGGCTCATTCATTTGTCATTTCCTGACCAATAAAAGAATGTCCTTTCATTCTTTTTTCCCTAATCTAATCCCCTAGATAGATCTTGATAGGCATCAATGAAATATATTACTATAGAAAGACAAAATGGATAGTTTTGAGATCAGGGCTTTAAAATGTATGCAATAATTTTCAGTTCATGTTCAAACAAAAACATGGTATAATTTTCAGTAAACAACCATCTATATACATATAAATAATGTGTAAATACATTATATTAGAAATACCATGTTTCCGAAACTGTTTATTAGGGGTAAAAACAAAAATGCATTTTTCAGAAAGGTACACAAAAATTAATTGCTCCCCAAAAGTATATTTGGACAAGGAATAGAATGGAATGGAATGGAATAGAATAGAATATCAGAGTTGGAAGGGATTTTGGAGGTCTTCTAGACCAACTCCCTGCTTAGGCAGGAAACCCTATGCCATTTCAGACAAATGTTAACCAATATTTTTTTAAAAACTTACTTTTACAACTTCTGGAGGCAAGTTGTTCCACTGATTAATTGTTCTAACTGTCAGGAAATTTCTCCTTAGTTCTAAGTTGCTCCTCTCCTGATTAGTTTCCACCCATTGCTTCCTGTTCTACCATCAGGTGCTTTGGAGAATAGTTTGAATCCCTCTTTTTTGTGGCAACCCCTAAGATATCGGAACACTGCTAACATGTCTCCCCTAATTCTTCTTTTCATCAAACTAGACATACCCAATTCCAGCAACCATTCTTTATATGTTTTAGCTTCCAGTCCCCTAATCATCTTTGCTGCTCTTCTCTTCACTTTCTAGAATCTCAACATTTTTTTACATCGTGGCGACCAAAATTCGATGTAGTATTCCAAGGGTGCCCTTACAAGACATTATAAAGTGGTATTGACACTTCATGTGATCTTGATTTTATCCTTCTGTTTATTCAGCCTAGAACTGTGTTAGCTTTTTTGGCAGCTGCAACACCCAGCTGGCTCATATTTAAATGGTTGTCTCCTAGGACTCCAAGATCCCTCTCACAGTTACTACTATTGAGGGAGGTATCATATACTGTATCTGTGCTTTTTGTTTTTCTTACCTAAATGTAGAACCTTACTTTTTTCATCATTGAATTTCATTTTGTTAGATAGCGTC